CCTGGTCTACACCACACGGAGTACATTGGCATAAAACGGCCAAGAAAAGTTACCTATGCACACCCTACACTTGCTGGGGTAACCAATATAGACAGCACGCTGCTTTGATAGAAGCAGATACTAGATGCCCCATTGTGGTCCAGGGGCAAGTGACAATAACACAATAACACTAGGATACGTGTATTTCCCACACACACACTCTCTGTCTCTGTCTCTGTCTCTGTCTCTCTCTCTCTCTCTCTCTCTGTCTCTCTCTCTCTCTCTCTCTCTGTCTGTCTGTCTGTCTGTCTGTCTCTCTCTGTGTTACCTTGTACGTGTCGAATAGATTCTTCTGCCAGTTGCTGGTGAAGCTGTCGAAGGTCAGGTAGCCAGACAGGATCACCACACCTGAGACAACAGCAGAACAGAGCAGTGAACACACGCGCGTACGAGACACACGTAGTGTCGTGGACATGGAAATCCAGTCGATTGACCGGGGCGTGCGCCCTCAGCGCGTACGAGCCGTACAGAACGTTGTCAGCGCACAATAGTGTTGATCCGATGCGACAAGCAACGCATGCATGCGTGTACCGCTTACCCACGGCTGCATGACCAGCGCCCTGGGGCCGCTAGACGTGCGACCGGATTTCCATGTCCACAACAGGACATGCATTCATCAGTTGGAGGGACTGAAAGGGAAAATGTCGGATGAGAAGACTGATTGGCATCATGAGGACTCAAACCAGGGACCTTCACTATGTAAGAGGATATGCAATACACGCCACACAGCACGTTTGCCACTCAAAAGTCTTCTATATACAGTCGTTCCTCTTTAATCCAGCACTTTATAAACGCGCACCCTCTATAATCCAGCAGAACAAACAGTAGTCAAAATGTCCTCTTCATGCGTATTGCAGCAGAAAATCAGATTTGTTAATCCAGCAGCCTCCCTGATCCAGCACTATAGGGCTTGAAAGTGATGACGTCAAAAACGGCCAGAGAGTACTAAGTTGACATCAGATTTCTATTTCGGATCCACTAAGGTGTGACTTTGCTATTGCCTCAGTATGTGGGTGCATAGCAACCCACTCGTGTCGTATGCAGGGGTGACTTTTACTTCGCCACCAGTTGTAACCCTGCCCCCAGTAGCCAAATCAGTCAGTTTCACTGGTTACATCACCTTGCTGAGAGTAAGACGGCTTGAAATGTGCTTGGATCCATACAAAAGCTGGGTCCAAGTGGATCCAATTTTTGAAATTGTTGCTATGCTGTAACGTAGCACTTTCAAGCACTATTTCCGTAGCACGAATGGCGTCAGGTTACAAAGGGACCACTGTATGGAGTTTCTAGTAACTGAGCTATGGTGACTGAGCTATGGTGACTGAGCTATGGTGTAGATTGAAGGAGAGCAGTGCAGACTGCAATGTGACTAGCACATGAGATTGGGTAATCCACCCATCTACACAGTTGAACATTGTCAGTCGCCAAAATTAGCCGTTCACAGCGCCCGCATGAAGTATGTCAGCAAATTCTTGACAAGTTCGTCAGAATAATATCCCAAAATGCAGAGAATTCTAAAACATTCACAGGAACCCAATATACTAACGTGAGCTGAGGCATAAGCCCCTCCCCCCATATCACCATGACTACTTGGCGCGTATGAGAGTTCAGACACAGCCCCCCCCCCCCCCCACACACACACACGTCACCACCACTATTTGGGTATGAGAGTTAAGACGCAGCCCCCCCCCCCCCCACCACATCACCACGACTACTTGGATACGAGGAGCAGACGCTAGCACTAATCAGACATACGTACCTGCGAATGTGGTGGCGGCAGCGGCCTTGCCAGCCCGTCCCATGCCGCCGGTATCCGCCAGCAGAAAGATACTGACGCCGACGGAGATGAGAACGGCAATGCCATACTCGTACCAGGCGTAGGAGCGACGCGACACGACCTTACCCATCAGCATGACGGGAATCACCTTGCACGACTTGAACACGACCTGTGACAAAGAGAAGAACAGGGCAGAGCAGCGCGCTATTGTCTGGTGGTGATTCGGGCACAGCTACATGTACCGGGACCGTGCGACACACAATCGCACACACACACACACACACACACACACACACACACACACACACACACACACACACACACACACACACACCAACTCACACACACACACTCGCACACACACACACACACACCAACTCACACACACCAACTCACCCACACACACACACCATGTATACGCCCGTCGCAAGAGAAGCACGCAAATCTGCAAATGCACTGGATGTGCACCCACAGATTTTCTCTTATAGCAACGATAGCGAACAAGATCTGAATGAGACAGATCAAGACTTGCGCCAGATAACTGTCTAATCCACACAACTGGCGAAGCCATGTGAATCAACCACCAATGCACACCTGGTCTACACCACACGGAGTGCATCGGCATAAAACGGCCAAGACAGTTACCTATGCACACCCTACACTTGCTGGGGTAACCAGTATAGACAGCACGCTGCTTTGATAGAAGCAGACACTAGATGCACACACACACACACACACACACACACACACACACACACACACACACACACACACACACACACACACACACACACACACACACACACACACACACACACACATTGTGCCGAGTATAATGACCTGGAGTACAAGTGTGTGCATACCTACACAGAGCATGCTATCGTACAAGAACACACGCACGCATGCACGAATGTATGCACACACACACTTGCATACACCGCACACGCACGCACGCACACACGCACGCACGCATACACACGCATACACACACACACACACACACACACACACACACACACACACACACACGCGCGGGAGCTACACTTGCCTGCGTTGGAAAGCTAACAAACTTGAGAGCTTCGTACTGACACCAGCTTGACAGGACGTTGGAAATCGAGCAGAACGAGTATTTGTAGAGCGGTGTGGCATGAGGAGGGTGAGGAATTACAGCCACTGCTGCACAAGCCACAACGAACGCCAGGAGACGATTGACCAATACCAGGAACTGAGAGTTGGTGAAGCGCTCTTCGCGCCCATCGCTGCCCTCAGCATCGCCGCCACCATACGACCGCGTCATAATGCGCTCCTGCAGTACTCCCCAGGTTACATAGGATATCTAGATGCATATAGGCACACATACACACACACACACACACACACGTACATACACACGTACATACACACGTACTTCGAAGTACACAGACACTCACACACACGTACATACACACACAAATGTAAACACCATCCACACATACACCCACGTACACACAAACGTACACACACGTACACACACCACGCACGCACACACACACATGCACAACAATAGGACCTCATGCGGTCAAGGCGAATGGCAAAAGACCGAGCCACTACTCACATAAGTTCATCCAACAACTGAACTGGCTGCTGGTAGACCACAGAGCTTCACCATAGCGTGTCTTGTCATGCATCACCCCCCCCCCCCCCCCATACACACAAACAAACAAACACAAACAAACAGACACACACAGACATACACCTTACACACCTTACACACACACGCACGCACACACACACACACACACACACACACCATTGGTCCATAGCGATGCTACAGCAGAAGCCATAGCAACTTGTCCTGGGATTTCACCATTCAACAGCTTGCAAGGCTGAAGAATTGGCCGCCACTATTCAGCCTGGTCTACACCACACAGCTATAAAGTGGCTTTTTCTGGCCAGTGAATCCCTACTTGTTGTTCTTCTTTAATTTTGTTCCCGCACACACATCACACCACATACTCCGGCATGCACTGGCTGTTGGTACCCACCCAGGAGAATGAAAGAAAAGTCAGGAAGAGTCTGAGAAAGAGAAGAAAGACGTGTATGACCATAATCGTCGGGAATCGAACCCGCAACCTATCGATTGGAATCGCTGCACATACCACTGCACCATATGGGACACACACACACACACACACACACACACACACACACACACACACACACACACACACACACACACACACACACACACACACACACACCTTTTGGACCTTTTGATGCCCATCGCCGGAAACGATGATAGCGATGCTACAGCAGAAGCCATAGCAGCTTGTGCTGGGATTGCACCATTCAACAGCTTGTGCTGGGATTGCACCATTCAACAGCTTGACACACACACACACACACACACACACAGGCACATACACACACACACACACACACACACACACACACACACACACACACACACACACACACACACACACACACACACACACACATACACACACACACTACAGAACTAACCTGCAAGCCAAGCGCGCAGATAGTCAGACGCGCTGAGCGCGGAATGCTATCTTCAAATTTCTTCAGCGCAGCAATGCGAGAACTACGCAGTGCATCTGCCGATGTACCCACAGAACTACCCGCACCCTCCTCAAGTGACGACGATACATCACTTGGTGTTGCCTCAATGCCCAGGACGCACGAACGAACAAGCTTCGACCAGATTGCCGTTCCTGGGACAGTGTAGAGACAGACCGTCACCAAGAGTAGAGTCAAACTTGTGAATAACGACCTCGGGTAATAACGACCCCGGGTAATAACGACCTTGGGTATAACAATTCGTGAATAACGACCTTGTGTAATAACGACCCCGGGGATAAAAAAACCTCTTTGAATAATGACCTCGGGCAATAACGATCTAGGTACAACAACAACTCATGAATGACGACCCTGGGTACAACAAAAACTGGTGAATAACGACATCAGGTAATGTAACAACAACTGGCGAATAACGACACTATCTTCAGGCATACTTTCAACCGGCTCATGAATGAAGACAACTTGAAAATAACACCAGATTTCTCATGCACGACCGGGGGTCGTTATACAACTGTCCAGTGTGTGAACGTTCATCATGACTCATGTTCACGATTTTATGTGTTTTAGGACCACTTGGCTACCCAGTTGACCGGACGGAGAGATGAAATCCGCACGGTACAAATGAAAGAATACACATCATAGCCGGTGCATAGTGGACACACGTACACACACACACACGTACACACACAGACACCCCCTCCCCCCCCCCCCCCCCACACACACACATGCCCACACACACACACACACACACACACACACACACACACTCACACACACTTGTACTTGTTGCTCACTGCCAAAACTGGTCATGTGGGTCTCCCCGGGAGAGGGAGAGAGACTCAAAAGGAATCTTGGAAAGATGACTAAATTGGCTATTGAACCGCCCAACGGCCGACACCCCCTGAAATCCCCAAAACTCTGGGTGGACTTGAAAATGGTGCCACTTATGGGCTCACCACACCTCAGTAAGTGGGTGTGGACAAGGTGCAGAAAAAGGATTGACGGCATCAGGGTATCCGTCCAGGGATCCAACTGCAGTTACCCCTGCCCCCAGTGAAGGTAATACTTGCTACTAGTGTGGGTGGCTAAACCAGGGTGGATCTGATATAAGCGTCACTAGCACCATTGATTACACAAGAGTTAATCTAGTCAGAAGCAGTCCATGGTTAACAGGTATGTATACTTCAAATAGAAGCACACACACACACACACACACACACACACACACACACACACACACACACACACACACACACACACACACACACACACACATCCACGCACCCCCCCCCCCCCCCCACACACACACACGCACCCGTCACGAGTTGTTTTCACAAGCATTCGACCATGGACTCCTGTCCGCGTAAACAAAAGCGTCCTGCTCACAAGCCGCCCATCAGACTCACCATACATGACATGCGGCGTGGCCTTTAACCAGCGCACCGCGAAGTAGGCCGGTGCAAGCAGTGACGCATACGTGGCCAGGTTGAGCATGAAGTGCCACAGAACATCCCATTGTGACGCAGGCGCCGATGACGACGACGAATGCGCCGAAGCCGACAGGCTGCCAGCGGCTTGGTGCTGCTCTGCTGCGAGCGCTGCGTCAGCCTCTGCCTCGGCACGAGCCACAAGCAGGAGAGAAGCGGCGAGCACACCGAACACGACATGCGTCAAGCGCCACCACTGCGAGTACGTCATGCTGTCAGCTACAATGCTGGTGCTGGCACGCCACTCAACAACTACCTCTCGGTTTTTTCTCGTGCAGCGGGAGAGATCGGGCAGCTGGCAATCCCTGCGACACCGCACCTGACAGGATCTCTACCGCCCCTCTCCACCTCAGTAGCGGCTACACAAAACACACACACGCGCGCGCGCACACACACACACACATGAACATACGCAGGACAAACAAGTTACTTTACTTGTCCGTTATCAAGGCCAGCACACAGGCCAGCACACAGGCCAGCACAGGGCAACAAGAGCACTGCACGCACACCTGCATTCAGTCACATATTACATGTTCTGTTCAACGTGCAACTACACACGCACACACACCATGTATCACACCCACACGCACACACACACGCACGCACACACCACACACATACGCACACATCCACACACGCCCGCACACATGCACGCGCGCACACACACACACACACACACACACGAATGTGGTACACGTGCTATGCTATTTTGTGACATACAAAATTGTGACCTACAAAATGATCTACGCAGAAACAACTAGGCTTCGCCGTCGTTCAAATCTGACAAGACGGAAGAACAGCCGCGGTTTGGAATTTTGCAACATGTATTTGAGGGAGAATGACAACAGGACATTGCGCCTATGCATCCTGGACCTCTGAAAGCTTCATAACAGTCCTAAGGCTCATTTCAATAGCCTTGCGCCTGTAACGCGTACTGAAAACCTAAGCACGGAAGTACGAGCCGATATGACCAATTCGCTCAATTTCACTCACGTATAAACACGTGATCCTAGTGCAAGAGCGCGCATACGACTCGCGTACCCGTAGAGGTACCGAGGTATTGCATGCTTGGCAAGCTTTTTGCAAGCCTTGGTTGTATAGTATAGGAAATACAAGACAAACAGAAAAATTATTGTGTAGGGAAAAACGAAAGACTCACCCGCAGCGCGGTCGTATTCAAAGCCAACAGAAACGACTGTGTCGCTGGTCGCATCGAGATGACTACAATAATATACAATTGGGAAACTCCATCAAACTTTCAAAGCCAGCTAGCAAGCCACTACATGTACCAGCCGAACCCAGCTGGCCACCTCCGGAGCTCAATTCCAACATGCGACTTTATAATTCTGAAAATGAATAATTGCTGTGGAAGGGTACGGGTGCTCAAATGAAAACGTTACAGATTTGAGAAAGAGAATGGATCTACAGTATTGCAGCAGGTTCCCAATTGTTCACCTCGCTTGGGCCATGGGATGCAGTGAATGTCAACGATATTAGTACCAGCACATGAAGCTACACACGGCCATTGCTTTCTTCAATGAAAGACAGGCAGCTTTCAGCCTTCCGGCACGGTGACCGGGTCATGACCGGTGACTGGGCATGGCATGGCATGTCGTCGGCGAAGGCAAATTTTTATGATGTTTTTTCTCTTTGTTGATTGAAATCCATAATCATGAATCAGCGCATGCAGATCTGAGCTACAAAATTTTGTAGCTCAGCCGCTAGTAAAGTACTGGGCCCGCTAGCCGGCGCCCCGCGATATGGATCATGATGGAATGCATGAGTCATTGTGTTGAAAACAAGGAGTCGTAAAATACCGGTTTTTTACGACTCCCTGGTTGAACAGAAAAAAATTACTCAGACTCATACCGGAACAGTGCCAACATTAGCCATAAGGCGCTAGGCAACAAGTCAAGAGTACATAACCCCCGGGGTGGGGGTGGGGTTATGTACTCTTGAGTCTTGGTACCTGGATCGTCCCGTCCCGTGATGTAGAGTTTGAATTTTGTGCTCCTGCTTTTCCCCGAGTTTCGCGAACTTCAAAAGTTGCACAAGTTGACTTGGTAGCTCTCCCCACAGTGATGCCCACAAAGGACAACCCCGCGACTGGCGTCCCTGACGGCCATTGTTGCCAGTGCACTGGCAATTCCAAGTGCGGAAAAGGCTGCTGTTGCCGAGAAGCTGGCAAGCTGTGCGAGGATTGTGGGCCCGGGAACAGGGCAAGATGCCGAAATTCGCAACCGTCGCGGCGAGGGCCAGTCCAGTAGGCTTTCGAACCATACGATACATTCCAGCCGCCGCGTCCCCCACGTGGAGACCGACAACCCAGGGTGAAGCCCACGTGTCGCAATAGTCGGCTCGGGACACTCCGCCGCGGCCTCTGGAGGAGCTCCACACCGATGGTCAGGGCCAAGGACTAGGTAGCACCAAGCAGGTGTCGGACTCGCAGCAGTTGGCGCGGGAAGCACTGAAACAACTCCACGTCGCCAAGCTCTGCGTCGACGGTCAGGGCCAAGGACTAGATGGCATTACCCAAGTGTCGGCCTCGCAGCAGCTGGCGTGGGACACCCTGGAACAACGCACCTCGCCAACCCGATTTCCAATTCGCAAAAGGTAGCATGGGACCTTCTCGATGCCGCTACACCAACACCCTCGGAGACCGGCTCCTATGGAGAAGTTGCACTGCAACGTGAAGCCAATGCTCCACGGCAAGACCAACAAACAACAGCACAAGAGGTCGCCCTCCTAGCGAGCCTGAGCTCCTCGCAGCCCAATAGCAACAGCGAGCCGGAACCCACAAACGCGCACGGTACAGCTAGTGGGCAGGGGGCTGCAACGCCGCCAATCCTGCCAGCTGACCAACGACTCATACTCGGTGAGCTGAGCCCCGAGGACACAGGGCAGGTCATAGCTGCAGCGTACGAGGAAATTGTACACTTCCGGCCTAACCTGTTCTCCATCCCATCGGGTGCACATGGCAGGTCAGTGGTGGACTTGAGCGCTCGTTACCTCAACACGTTCGGAACAAATGCGGCGGGAGAAGGCATAGCCTTGACGGCACTTATGGTCTGCCACAGTCTTCTACTGCAACAACAGGTCAACTGCCTGACACGTAAGGTGCATGTGGAATGTCTGAACCGACGAATGCAGCTATGGAACGAGGGAAACATCGATGAACTCGTCCGGGAAGTACGTACCACCCAGCGCCAACTAACCAAGGAACGTCACGTGGCGGGTAACGGGCCCAAAGTCCAGATGACGCACGACGTTTCGCTACCCTCATCACAAATGGTAAACTGGGCGCAGCTCCCCAGTCCCTGACAGCAACGCTCTCGGGTGGGCTGCTAAATCTGGACTCCTCCACTGACGGTAAAACCGTGAGGCAAACGCTGAAAGAGAAGCGCTCGCCGGCGGAACCCATGCATGCAGATGCTCTCATCATCGGCCCCTGCCCTGAACTGCCGCACTCGGTGCTGTTCGAAGCTCTGAACAGAGACATCATTCGGCAATCGGTGCTAAGGACAAATGGAGCAGCAGGCCCATCCGGCAGGGACTCTACCAGTTGGAAAGGCTTGTGCACCTCGTTCGGAGCGTCCTCCGACCAGCTATGTGATAGCATCGCCACCTGCGCCAAGCGCATCGCCACCGGAATCATCAACCCAATCTCCCTCGAGCCATTCACGGCATGCCGCTTGGTGCCTCTGGATAAGAAGCCCGGGGTGCGCCCAATCGGCATATGTGAAGCCCTCAGACGGATAGTAGGCAAAGCCATCCTCACCATAATCGGAGAGCAGATCCAACAGGCGGTCGGGTCGCTTCAGCTGTGTGGCGGCCAAGAATGTGGCGTGGAAGCAGCAATCCACGCAATAGCGCACCTGTGGAACGAGGAAGAGACCGAAGCAGTCCTCCTAGCAGACGTGAGCAATGTGTTCAACAGGCTGAACCGCAGTGTGTGCTTGCACAACATCCGTCACCTCTGTCCGGCCATTGCGGGTGCCGTCACCAACACCTACCGGCATCCCGCTCGGCTGTTCGTCGATGGGGAGTGTCTTCTTTCTGAGGAGGACACCACCCACGGAGACCTGATCGCAATGCCCATGTGTGCCATTGGGTTCCTCCCACTCATGCAGAAGGCGGAGAGCAGGTCAGCGACACAGCACATCTGGTTTGCGGATGATTCCACAGCAGCAGGCCGTATGCGTGCGCTGCATGTATGGTGGAACACGCTCGAGGAGGAGGGCCACAAGTACGGATACTTCATCAATGGTTCTAAGTCCACGCTCCTGGTGAAACCACAGTTTGCCAAAACCGCGGAGGAAGTGTTCCATGGGACTAACATCGCAATCATGCAAGACGGTTGCCGTCACCTGGATGCGGGACTGGGCACTGCTGCTTTCTGCAAGCAGTTTGTTGCAGCGAAGGTCACGGAATGGGTGAAGGAACTGCAAGTCCTCACCAGGTAAGCCCAATCGCAACCACAAGCAGCGTACACGGCGTTCACGCAAGGGCTGAAGGGCAAGTGGACATTCCTCGCTCGCACCATGCCAGAAGCGACGGAGAATTTCCCGCCACTGGAGGAGATTATCCACGGCGAGTTTATCCCGGCGCTCACAGGACACCCCGCTCCTGATCAGACCACCCGCACTCTTCTCGCTCTGCCTTGTCGCCTAGGGGGCATGGGTTTAATCAACCCGTGCGATCTCGCCAGCCAGTTTGATGACTCCAGGACCATCACGCAGCCATTGGTGGAGCGGATCATCGTGCAAAACACGGACCTAGGTGATGTTCACCACACCATGAAGGCAGAGAAGGCGAAGGTGCGCAGGATCCACTCCGTAAGGGAGAAGGAGACCCTAGTCGCTGTGGAAGTGAGCATTGCATCGGACTTATAGCGGTCCAGGGAGCTGGCGGTGGAGAAGGGTGCCTCGTCGTGACTGGCATGCAAACCACTGAAGATGTTTGGCTTCATGCTATCCAAGGGCGCATTTCACGATGCGGTTTCATTGCTATATGGCTGGCCTCTGAAGCGGTTGCCCTCGGCTTGCAGCTGTGGTAAATCATTCACCGTGGCCCATGCTCTCTCCTGCTCAACCAGCGGCTACCCTAGCCTCCGAACCGTGCCCGACACAGCGCACTTGCTAGCTCCGTTGGAGGCCGCGATCCGCACGAAGCTCATTCCTGCCATCACCGACCAACCCCTCCAGGTGATCTTGACAGGTCCATCCAAGCTCTACCCTGCAGAGACGGAGGTTTGGGGCTCATCGTCCCGGCCTCCCTGTCAATCCAGCATCGTGACTCTAAAGCTATCACACACGCCCTCGTAGAGCGCATCCTGCTTCAGGATGAATCCCTTGATGGCATCCCGCGCGAGACAAGAAAGGCGAAGGCAGATGCTTCATCACAAGCCCGCCGTGCACTCATGGACCACACCAAGTCCATCAAGGATAGCTGCTCTCCTGCCATGCTTCGGGTGCTGGAACTGGCTTCGGAGAAGGGAGCCTCTAGTAGGCTTACTTGCTGCCCGCTCCGTCGCTACAGGTTTGTCCTCAACAAGGAAGCTTTCCGCGATTCGCTTCATTTGCGCTATGGTTGGATTCCGTCTAGACTGCCCTCAACCTGTCCATGTGGTGCTTCATTCACACCTGAACGCGTTTGGTCCTGCCCCATTGGTGGCTACCCCTCCATGCATCACAATGACCGTGATTCAACAGCATCCCTACTGAAAGACGTGGCCCATGACGTGAGCACCGAACCTTCGCTGCAACCAATCACCGGTGAGACCCTTCGTCATCGCACAGCGATCTCAGCCGGCGTCGCGGCGCTCGCCTGGCCATGGCAGCATCCGGCATATGAGGTGGGCGTTACGAGAAGACGCTCCTAGACATCCGCATCTTCAACCCTCATGCACGTTCCAACCGCCAGCAGTCACTTCCAACTACATACCGAAAACACGAAGCTGAGAAGAGGCGCTGGTATTAGGAGCAAATCTGTGAAATTGAGCACGCGTCATTTGTGCCAGTGGTCTTGAGTGCATCTGGAGGATTCGGGAAACGTGGCGGCTTCTGCGCTCTACAACAGAGGTGCCTGTATGCTTTCGGACCAGAGAAAAGAGCCCTATTCCACCGTACTGGCCTGGATCAGGTCAAGGGTCTCTTTCGCTCTTGTCCACCTCAGCAAATGCTAGCCTCCGTGGACATCGCGCCGCTCAGCCGAAATCTGACCGAGCTTTGGCTGACATTCTCGCTGTGCTGGCCGCATGCAGAATGGCACTTCTGATCCTCTGTTCCATTTTTCTTTTTCTTTTACTTGCGTTGCATGATTGATCTTGGTTTTTCCATTATTATTTGCCATGGCGACCCCCATAAGTCCACATAACTGGCAGGGCAGGGTTGGGCCTTTTTTCTTTTCAGTCTACGAGTCTCATTATGTTCTGTTGCCAGAACAAGAAGCCTGGTCACATCAAAGTACTGACATGATAATACTTTACTCTTGGTCACAATCGTCCTCTCGTAGATCTTTTGTAGTACGGTACAACACAACCAAGCAGGAGTCCACGAGTGTAGTCATGCAGTAGCTACTAGTACTACTGACAAACAACAACTATAGTACTAAGTCAAACAAAATAAAGGCCACAGCTAGGTAGCTACTCTGTTGGTAGTCAGTCAGGAGCATGGTTCTCAACACAGTAGTCTAGTGTGTCCTCCTCCTCCTCCTCCTCCTCCTCCTCCTCCTCCTCCTCCTCCTCCTCCTCCTCCTCCTCCTCCTCCTCCTCCTCCTCCTCCTCCTCCTCCTCCTCCTTGTGCTTGTAAAGGTACATGCTCAGCTGTCATCGTCAAACAGGTCTACCTATGCTATGGTGTGGCTGCGGTGCCCGGTTCAAGTCTCCCGCTCAAAACCACTGGTAAGTGATCAGTGTGCCCAGACTAAATTCTAATACAGCAAAATAGTCCCTGAAGACTTCCGAGTTCTACCAAAACTATCACCGGAGCATCGGAGCCGGAGGCGGGCTGGTGCTAAAATAAACCGTTTTTACACATAATGCGAACTGCATTTTATGCAGAATGCAGTTCACGAAAATAATAATTTTTACATAAGTAAAATTTTAACTCCGAAGTTTTGCGCATCCACACAATACAATTTTGCAAGAATACAATGTCATGTGCCGCGCAGAAATGGGTATCATCAAGCCGAGACTACATAACCCCCAGGGAGCGTGCAACTGTCTGCACAACCTCAGTGCTGCGACGGCAGAACTTCACATCAGATCACATAACAAGGGCATCGGAACGTATTCGACATTGGTGCGGCCATATGAATAGGTGGAGGGTCCGGCGTCCTCCTCCGTGAATTATTTTAGGGACATTGGTCCCAAATAGACCATTTTATTGCTTCAGAAAAGTCTTAAGTTGATTGCCGCACAGGTTCCGACGCCCAACGCGCCCCTGCATAACATGCCAACAGGTTATGCTGGAAAGCAGTGCAAAGTGACTACAAGAGAGTTGAACCCAAAGCAGGGTTGAATACCACCCTGCTATATCTATCATGTACACTTGAAGGTGCAAATAATGAGTACGGGTTCGTCACATTTGATGTGCCGACAGAATTTAGAGTTGACATCATCTTAAATATAATTATTAGTGATGCAATGCCCGTTGTAGATGACTATACGTAATATCAGCCATAGCCTGGACCTACATGTACATGTTTGGTGAACAAATCCTCATTTTGACCCTAGATCCTGTTCAAACTAGCTTTTTAGAGTGTCTTGCACTTGGAAGTGCAAGACAAATTTTGGTCATGACGCATAACTGTGGAAATCGATTATTATTATTATTTGCAAATATAGTACGAGCCGTAAAAAAAGCGCAAGAAAACACCTGGGAAACCCAGCACAGAAGTCGTAAATCGCACGTGCACTGAGGACAACTGCATTATGAAAGTGATGTCAACTTGACTGAAACTCTGTCGGAACAGCTCTGTTTGCGGGAGTTGCACACTTCTGGGAATTGTATAGTAGTACAGAACTGCTGAGGACAATTGTATTACTAAGCTAGTACCGCAAAGTACCGTTGATCCGCCCCCTCTCTAATTTGTACTCGTGAAGCGACTTCGGCGTATACAACGAAATACGATGTTGAACCATGTTCTGTGTGTGTGTATGTATGTGTGTGTGTGTGTGTGTGTGTGTGAGTGTGTGGAAACCTGGGAGTAGTAAAATACCAGTATTTTACTACTCCCAGGTTGCAAACTTATAGCCGAGGTGAGTTAGTACTCAGTATTAGTAGTACTAGTGAGATGGTAATGCGATGGTCGCATGTTTCAGCCCTTTTCCGGTGCATACTGTACTGGTGTACATACTGGACACGTGTCTGGCGGGGTCAACAAATCAGTACTCGATGGCGTATAAGATACGACTCGAATTTTGCAGGTTTCTGTGACAGACTGAACGCGAGCTGAGTGGGCATGCATGAACCGCAAACCCACCGAACACATCCCATGATGGACCAATGATAACCATGACAACCGCAGCTCTACCAACACGTGCTTATTGTACTGACGGAAATGCAGTGGAACGAAAAATTAAAAATTAAATGAAATACGGAGGTGGCGTGGCTAATCAATGTGCGATGTAGTCAAGGTTCATTTGTGATTATTGCACCACACGATTCACTAGATCAGGGAATGTGACCTGCAAGACCCCGAGCACATGCCCGTCCACAGCACAAGACAGCAGAGGGCACTTTCCGAGTGGAGTGCAAACTCGCGAGTTCACGGGTTTTTCTCCGCCCCTTTGCGTAAAGCTGCTCAACTAAAGTTGCTCAACTTTACGTTGTGGCTACTCACGTAGTGGCTACTCAGTGGGGAACCTCTCTCATACATGTATCTCATTGGGTTTCTGAGCTTTCCATAGCTGGAAAATTCTTCACTGAAAGCTGTTTCGCTTCCTCAGAGTTGTACACGGTAGGTATGAAGGGGTTAACTACTGGATGTGCTCAACAAAGAGCGTGAAATTGATTAGAAAAATCACCAATAACTCCAATAATACCAATCAGTGAAAAGCGGAAACATTCTACGCAGAGACATGAATGAAACCCATGCAAAATTAGCAATACAAGGTGTGCATTCACTGCGAGAAGGTCAGTGATAGTCGTTCCACAAGGATATACATGTACAAGTACATGTGCATCAGAGCATGCCAGTGTAAACAACGAACGTGCCAAGGCGTACCACTTCGGTAAACACTGCAGCAGACCAGAGAAAAATGTAGCAACATGCTGTTGCCTGATGATCGTAGAGATACGTGAAACTCGGAGTTGTGACAAAGCTTCCAAACTCTCTCTTGTGTAGCAACATGCTATGATTAATGATAATACCAAGAGTACATAAACCGTTTATGTACTCTTGATAATACCGGTAGTATCAAGCAGGGAGTAGTAAATTACCGGTATATTATTACGCCCTAGTATCAAGTTCTTGTCTCGGATTGCGGTAAAACAAAATTTAAAAAATTTGGTGGCCGTTTGCAATGGAAGTCACAAGGCTGCTAGGATACCGAATAGCCTAGTCAAACGAGCAATTGATTAAAAAGGAGAAAATAATGAAACTGGAATCCACTGCCGATAGGATGGCAATTGATTCTAATTGAGATGCTAGCGACGTACTACTGTAGAGACATTGTACAATTTCTTTGCTAACACTCTAACTTTTCGAATTGTCCGCAAAATAAGCATTGTAACTTCTAGTAAAGAACTGGGTAGAGTGCAAGAAAATCTGCTTAAGATACTTAGAAGAGAAGAGGAAATGGAAGCTATCATGTCTAGAAATGTATGGTATAATGCACTGGCATTGTGGGCAGGTACAGCAAGACAACACCGCAGTCCTACCTGCTCATTGCTCAAATACATTCAAAGTCATGCATATGTGACGATTAAAGCTCTGGATCCGCCAGAGAAAGATAGCTGCCATGTTGCTACATCTGGTAGGAAATGACCGGCAGTGTGTGCATAGTCACTTTACACTTAGTGAAGGTATCATGATGACTTTGGAGTGGCCTTCTTCAATAGCTTTACAACCGCATGACGTTCCCATATTCTCGCCTCGTCCAATGGTGTCAGGCCATCCTAAACACAAGACAGTTGCAATATACACGTAACACACCTATCAGTATATACATCATGTCATACAGGTACTTGTGCAGTTGTGCTCGGGGAAATCCCACCTAAAGTGCATATTTGGAGCCATGAACTCGCACAGCCCTATACGCCCAGGATGTGATAAAAATGCAGCTGGACATACACATATGCAAGTGCAGTGATGTAATTAGAACTGGTCCAGGGTGCCAGCTTTGCACTTTAGGCCGGATTTCGATACTCACAACTGTACGTGGTCACTGTCTTAACCTGATCCCTCCCGGGTGATTCGGCGGCAATTATTTCGGATTTTTTGCTTTTGCCACTTTCAAAATGATTATTTTGGCCTTTTATCCTGCATTTCAGAGAAGAGAATTGTATGTCGCTGCCTTAATCTGATCCCTCCCGGGTGATCCAGTGACAATTTTGGAGTTTGTGCTTTTAACACTTTCAAAATGGATTTTTTTGTCTTATATCCTCCATGTATAATTTGATATCGTACTCGTAATACAGTTTCAGTGAAACCCAGCCTATTCACGCGGCTGCACATTCGTAGTACATATCTTGCACGGTGTTACTGTCTTATGATCTGGAGAAAAGTTGCCGTCAACTGAATCCGCCCAGGACCAAACCAAGCGGAGTTTCCAATGCACTCTGCAAACTGAATGGCACTCACGTCGTCTCCGACATGTTGATGTAGAGTGACGCAAGGAGGAGGAAGGCATGCAGAAGACTTAGTTTCCGTGCTTCTGTTTTTTGCTTGCGAAACTAGTTTGTGTAGCTAGTGCACCTAAACCCGACGTGAGGGTTCATGTATGGACATCCAGTATTCACATCTGGAATGCTCGAGGTTCTGTATGCACAGCCTACTATCTGTTAGGTTCGGTAGACAAGAGACAAGTAGTTTATTGGTTAGAATATACGAAGTAGAAAAACTGACAAGATTCAATCTGTAAACGACAGAGAAGACCTTCAAAGATATGCGTGCGTGCATACACAGTAGAGCTAAAGTTGTATGGCATTACGTCATAACATAACACGCCCCTTCGAAGATAAAATTCCATGGGTGTTAACCGGACACAAAATAACAAACACAGTAACATAACGAGAGAGCTTGGAAGCTCAGGGCCCTACGCTATGCTTTGTTACTTAGCTCATCGTGCATGTTGTGGGAACTGATGGAAATGTTTCCTGGGAAGGCACTGACTCTGCCGAGCACGCGCGTTCTGGAGTCGACGGGATCACTCTGCCGACGTTTCCTGTGACCGGCGCTGACTCGCCCGTTCACGCCTATTTTGGAGACGACAGGATCTCTCTTCCAAAGCATGTTTTTGCTGACGCATCCTATCACCTATTCGGTAACTAACATCCATTCTAATTTCATTTCCTCCTCGTCTCCCTATTTCTTTCCAGAAAGTCTCTCTATACATCAGGGAGTCGTACTGTATTGGCAGCTACCCTAACGGGTCACGCCGCCCACCACCCAAGCATGGGTATGATGAGGGACAGTGGCAACAGAAACAGAAAAAACAGCAAGCAGGGAGAGAAAGCAAGAGAAAGACGGCGATAGTAGTACATCTGGTGTGGGACGTAAAGAAAAGAGAGATGACAAGAGATGCGCACAAAATAGGAAACAATAATAATTATTTTTGCAGTTCCGAAACAATCAACCAGGTGATGGAGTGTGGGCACCCGAAGTCCCACCTGGACTCCACTGGAAGAACATCCCACGCAGGGATATCAGCGATAGGCCAAGCGTTGAAAAACAGCCATGAGGACACATCGTCTAGAAGTCCACCGCGCTCGAACTGAAATTGCAGGTTCAAACAATTTCCCACGCGGCGTCAGGCAGCGTAACTCTTCTCCCTGCATCACCATCCATCCCCAGCAACCGTCTCCACTCACAGCTCATGCCTCTGCCACCACTGTACTCCTCCGAGCTTCGCAGTTTGAAACCATTCGGGGGTCAGCTACACCACCGCGAATGGAGAGACGAGGACGACAACGGTCGTGACTGAAAAGACACTGCCTTGGCGACCGCGTCGCGGAGCCCTTGCCCCAGCAAATTCAGAAATACGCCAGGGGCAACTCTGGTGGACCCAGAGCCACCCCCTTGGCAAGACTAGTAAGAGGAACGACTGAAAACTAAGATAAAACGGAGCTACAAAAAGTGCAACCGTCCCCTTCAAGCACATATGCAACACACAGGGAGTCGTATACATGTACATTATATTGTGGCCAGCTGTTTGTAGCCAGCTGTGTTTGATGGTACGGTACGGTACGGGACAGATACGGAATCCAGCAAATGGCCAGCTGTGTGATACGGTACGGGACAGATACGGGATAGCGCCAGGCGTGACACAAACAAACAAACAAACAAACAAACACCAAATTAAAGCTGTGTGGACCCTGGCTAGCGCCAGACGTTACTGAAGTAACGTCTTCTGCATAGCTACGGGAATAATAATTATACTCTCACGCCCCTTCTGAGATAAAACCTGGTTTTGTCTCAACAAAAATAAATAAATAAATAAATAAAGTCATAACAGACGAGATGAAATGACATAGGCATGATGTCAAGATGAGACCAAATGCTACAGACAAACATTGTCACACATATGACTGTCCAGACGTAGATGTAATGGTGAGACGGTCAGGCGTCCTGCGAATACGAGTGCTACGACGAACAGGCTGGGTAGCGGCGTCAGTAGGTACAAGTACTGATTAAGTTGGGGAAGGGGTATGACTAGCGGAGTCAACACAGGGGGGAACGTACGGCCGAGGGAAGCGGCGATTACGCCAGAGGACACAGCCACTAGGCATCTTGACGAAGTAGTCGCGCCGACTGCCAATTGCTACAATGACGCCACGTATGGACCACAGCTTGGTCTGGTGGTGCCGAACATCAACATGGGTGCCAATCCGTAGAGAATGGAGAGAGCGTGCCGATTTGTCATAATGTGTTTTCGGATCTACAGAGTCCACAGCTTCAGCAGACGCAATCCAGTGACGATCAAAGCTGGCACGGTGGGCGAACACAAACGACTGGAGGGACTGACCGAACAACACTTGGGCGGGGCTGCTGCCATTAGGGCGGGGAGTATTGCGCCACTCCAACAGGCCGCGTTGGAAGGAGTCTACATCCAGATCTCCATTCCGGGTCGTCTTCTGAATGAGCAGTTTCACTGCTTTCACTGCTGATTCCGCGTGGCCATTGAATTGAGGGTAGTGTGGGGTGGAAAAGCACTGTTCCACACCCCAACGCTCACAGAACTCACGTACACGGGAAGCGGCAAACTGCGGGCCTCCATCAGTGAATATCTTGCGCGGTACGCCAACATCTGCGAACCAACGGCGGAAGTGACAAATGATGTCATGGGAGGTATCGGTACGGCCAATTCGAGCTACACACGGCCAGCCGGACAGACGGTCAGAATATACCAGGAACTGCCAGCCTTGACAGGAGAAGAGATCTGCGCTGGCATACTCGAATGGAAATGTCGGCTGTGGCTCGCTCATCGATGGCTCCTTCTGCTGCGAACGTTGGAGCTCACGACAGACAAGGCAGGCACGGATCAGGGCTGTGATGTCATCACTCATCCTCGGCCAGTAAACCACTTGACGCGCACGACGCTTGGTACGTTCCAGGCCCTGGTGAGACGAATGCAGGTCAGTCAGTACACGGCGTTGTAGAGACTTGGGCACAACAAGACGAGAGCCACGGAGGACGATGCCGTTATCCAGGGTGAGGTGCTCACGGCCATTCCAATACGGAGCGAGAGCAGGTGGCATGTGACGTCTGGCAGAAGGGAAGCCGTCACGAATATAGGAGACTAACTGCACGTAATCAACGTCAGACTGAGCGGCATCGCGGAGCTCGTGGAGCGGGAGACCAAATAGCGCTGATCCGGAGTCATCCTGCTGAAGGCATGCACGGATGGCTTGTCCAGATAGGGAGTCGGCTTCTCCCAGGAGATCATCGGCAACCGGGTTCTGCACTGGAGCACGCGACAAGGCGTCAGCAAAGGCATGCTCAGAGCCCTTGCGCCACGAGACGTCGAATTGATAGAGTTGTACCTTGGTCATCAGACGTTGGAGCCGAGGATTCTCAACCTGGTCCAGTGTGTAGGTGTTCAACATTGGAACAAGGGGCTGATGGTCAACAACTACATGAAACGACATGCCAGCAAGATAGGTGTGGCATTTTCGGATGGCCCAGGCGACACCCAACATCTCCAGTTCGATCATTGCGTACCGGGATTCGGTGTCGGTGATGAATCTGCTGCCGCACTGAATGAGGCGCCACGAATTATTCTGGTACTGCCAGAGGCCAAATCCGAGACCCTTGGTCCTAGCGGCGTCACACTCGAGTCGTGTCTGTGTTGACGGGTCGAAGAAGGCCAATAACGGTGGGTCAACAAGTGCTTGCTTCACAGCGTCCATAGCGACTGTGCGCTCGGGTAGCCAGAGAAACTCATTCTTGGCTTTCAGCAGACCGCGGAGAGGCGCTGCGTGTTCGGCGATGGTTGAGCTGAAATCACTGCACTGGTTGACGAGACCTTTGAATGATCGCAAGTCAGTGTGATTGGCAGGGATCTCGAAGTCGGTGATAGCGCGGGTCTTTTCCTGGTCTGTCTTCCACCCGGACTTCTTTATCACGTAGCCGCAGAAATTGATCTCGGTCACGGCGAAATCAAACTTCTTGGCTGACAGGGTGATACCATACCGACGAGCGCGTTGAAGAACTTCACGAGTTCGTTCCAGGTGCTGCTCAAAGGAATTAGTGAAGACTAGGCAGTCATCCACGACCTTGGAGAATTGCTCAATACCAGCGATAAATTGCTCAATACCAGCGAATGCTGCATCGGTCCGCTGGTTGAATTCGTCGCCAGCAGAAATCAGACCTTGTGGGTTCCGCAGGCACTGATATCTGCCCCACTGTGTGATGAATGTGGTCAAGCTTCTGGACTCCTCGTCCAAGGGGACCTGCCAGTAGCCGTGGCGAGCATCCAGCTTGGTAAAATACTGGGCGTTACCAAGGTTAGAAACAACACCGCGAGGTGCGCGCATGGGATGCGACTTGCTTGTTCAGCTTAGTGAAATCCACCGTCATCCGGACTTCTGCAGTGCCTTTCTTTTCGGCTATGACGATGGGGTGACACCACTTCGTTGGCTCTGAGACCGGTGCGATGATGCCATCTGCGACCATCTTGTCCAGCTGGAGTTTCACCTGGTCACGATAGGCGTAAGGTAACCAACGGGCATTGTTCAACTTGAACGGCTGGGCGTCAGGCGCGAGTTGGATGTGCATCGGCTGACCGTCCATGGGTCGGAGCGTGTCCTCTGCAAATACGCTAGCGAACTCGTCGAGGAAGTCCTGGCGGATACGTACACGCTGGTCTGGTGTAGGGTTGCTGTGCTCTGCAGAACGGGATGTTCCTTGTTTCACTGAAGCGATCTGTGGCCAGTTAGGCGGCAAGAAACCTAACGCCTTGAGCGAGGAGCGCGACAGCAATGCGCTACTGAGTTCGTCATACACATGTAGACGAGTGGTGTGCGTGACATCACGAGCGACAACCCTGGCGGGAACAGTTCCCAAGCTGGTCAATGGCTGACCGTTCACGGCGACAACATGGTCGGGGTCAGGTTCCAGATCAGCTACACTGCCACCAAGTCTGCGGAGATGACTAGCACCAATAGCATCAACATCCGAGCCAGTATCTGGCAACCACTCTAACGTGCACGACCGGTCGTTGTCGTCAAGACGTGTTGACAGCATCACTTTGTCACCAGCCTGCACTGCGTGAATGGTGAGGCATGCGATGGTCTTGCGGCACATTGCCGCGAAGTAGTCCCTGCCCTTGCACTTACGGCACTCTTTGCCCTTGGCAGGACACATTGACTTCGTGTGCTGGGATCGTCCGCACTGCGAGCACTTCGCCGGCTTGTCAGCTGCAGCAGATTTCGGCTAACTAACCAAAGCGGATTTGCTGCGTTGATATGATGACCTTGTTGCGGCATTCACGGATGCCGGTACCATGCCGTCACCAGTCTGCTGTGCAGCTTCTTCAGCCCTGCAGATCTTGGCCGCGGTTTCCAGGGTGAGGGACGGAGCTGCCAGGAGCTTATGGCGCGTGTCGTCGTTGGCTATGCCAACTACGATGCGGTCTCGCATCATGTCGTCCGTCACCTTGCGGAGGCTCTGGGGACAAGTACTGCATAGCTGAGGTGTACATGTGCTGCACAGCTCCATATCAGGGAAATCGCACTGTGCAAACAGCTCCCTCATTGCAGTAAAGAAGGAGTCAAATGACTCATTGCGCTGCTGCTTTCTATTGTAAAACGCAATTCGATCTAGGAAGGGGTTCCGTTGGCGTCAGATGTACGCTTTTACTGCTATGATGATCTCCGGAGCATCGGCACTGTGGGAGATGACAATCACATCTTCGTGCATGAAACTACGAATGTCGGCATCGAACGCCTGGCAAAGAGCGGACACCCGAGTCTCACGACTTTGGCTGGCGAGGTGCTGGCACACAGCATAATCTCTCCAAGCCTCCTCCCATGCCTTGAAATCGGCCATGGTTGCAGTGCTGAGCAACACCGGTCGCTCGACAGAAATCGGCTTCTGACTGTAGGATGTCGAAGTGCTGGGTGGTGCCTGGTTGTCGCGCGTTGCGTTTTCGACCAGTGTGGTGAGGCGAGTCTCGCGTGCCTCAGCCGCTTTCATCTGCTGCTGCATCAAGGCGAGCAGGGATACAATTTCAGCACTGATTCGGGAAATTCCTGGTTCCGCCATCACGACAATTCTACAAATTCTACAACTACTAGACACTTATGCTACACGATCGATCGTTTGAAAATAAAAGGCTACAGAATTCACGGACAACTACAGGCTGTCAAATATTCCGTACTCAGGTTACTAGTAGTTCACTGCGCCATGTTAGGTTCGGTAGCCAAGAGACAAGTAGTTTATTGGTTAGAATATACGAAGTAGAAAAACTGACAAGATTCAATCTGTAAACGACAGAGAAGACCTTCAAAAATATGCGTGCGTGCATACACAGTAGAGCTAAAGTTGTACGGCATTACGTCATAACATAACACTATCCACGAGGATGTAACCTGCGCTGCATTACCCCGTAGCAATGTAAGATACAATATGCATGTAGCTCGAAACACTTTTCTGTTTCCAGCTCACGCTCCTGAAGTTCACCTGTATACTCCTCCCGAAGTCGTTCCGAGTTTTTCTCCTTCGACATACTAGCCCCTCATACGTGTAATAGATGGAACATAATTGTTCCGCATGGACCTTGCTCAAGTGAAAGATTCTGGCATGATGGCGTCTCTCAAAAATATACCAAGCAATGGGAGCGTGACCGATTTTGAGAACAATAGACACAACAAACTGGGGCAAAGACTTGCACACATTGATGGGGTGAGGAGGCAGTAGATGAGAATTTTCGGGTTAGGACAGGATTCCACTCGGATAAAGGTCAAGGAACAGATGATTGTTTGCACGTTTATTATACAGTGCAAACACAGAACAGGATTATCCTGGTTGATAACACTCAATGTTACTGTGCTTTACCGCATTCTTGATGTTACAGTCGGCCCCTGCAGCGAGCAGCGCTTGACACACAACAAGTTTACCACTATTGGCGGCATCGTGCAACGGAGTGTCGCCACGCTGGATGCACACGCAAGAAACAACAGTACAGGAAAAAGTTCTCAATGAGTTAGATTGTGGATCACAGTCACAGTTGTAGATCAAAGCAAAACAATTCAGAGTGGAATTCAACAGTTGGTGGATATGGTACTACTTGTCTGGTATTTACATTGCATGATTGCCATTAGTGTACAGACATACATGTACACTTATACCTCGGTTATCCAGACCCCAAAGTTACGGGCATTTCAGGCTACCGGACACACTTTGGGTGAGTCTCAGTGGAAATGTTACTACTCTTTAGGCAATTTTTGTGGAAATAGTGACGACATATGCCATATTTATGGCCATTCCCCATCCAAATGTATGTGATTCGGAGTAACGGACATTTCGAAGTTATTGACAGTGCCTAGTCCTAGACCGCCCGGATAAACAAGTTATGAGTGTATTTCATATTGGCGGATCATTGTGTCGTTGTACAGTTTGGATCAACGCCCAGGATGTGGTACGAATGCGGCTGTAGATATCGTACATGCAGTTGTATGTAGTACTATGTACGCACGTGCAGGCATGCACGTGCTTGTACCGCTTTATGTATAGCACGAGAGAGATGACATGGCGCACTTCTGATAGAGAACTAAAGAAGATCTGTTTAGCACAATGGCTGTCTTGTGAGTGACTGAATAGATGTCTACATTGGCGCAGTGAACGAAAATGACAAAGGGCAGGACGCCCAAGGAATTTATTCCTGACTATGCTGCGAGCAACGTCGGTGCTGATTTTGAACTCTGGCTCGAGGACATAAATGATTTCCTTTCAATCAGTGAAGTGACGGCAGCAGCTGACAAGAAACGCTTGTTCTTGAATCTGGCTGGATTAGCAGTGAGGCGCATTGTGAAAGGTCTGGTTGTCACGGTGGAGCAGACACAAGATGGCTCACCTGGAGATGAGTACCAAGCCTTGACGGACGCATTGTTGGCACACTTTCGACCGTCAACAAATGTCACGTCTGAACGTCACAAATTCCGCCAACTCCGCCAAATGGAGGGCGAGTCGGTGACTTCGTTCGTTGGGCGGCTGAGAGAAAAGGCAGATGTTTGCGAATTCAGCTCCACTTCTGTGGATACCATTGTCAACTGCCAAATTCGAGACCAGCTGATCGTGGGCCTGCGTTCTGTTGAGCTTCGAAAGGAGCTGCTGAAACAGTCGAAGCTGACCCTGAACGACGCCGTCACCAAGTCAGTGGCGTTGGAAGCGTCGATTACTGACAGTAAACTGTACGATAGTACCAGAGCTAGTGACGCACCGCCTGTGTTCCCCGTGCCCATCCAGCGTGTGCAAGCTGTCTCTGCAGCTGGTTCTGGATCAGAGGGAAAGAAGTGCAAATACTGCGGACGTAGTCACAAACCAGGCATGCGTAACTGTCCTGCGGCCAACGTCACCTGCAACAAGTGTGGCAAGCGAGGGCATTTTGCAGCGGTCTGCATGTCAAACAAAGTGGAAAGACACGAAGAAAGAGCCCGGCCAGTAGAGGATGAGCCTGATGAGTATGAGCATGCAAGTCGCATGTACGACTCCGCTTTCGCCGTCAGTAGCTCGGCACTCGCAGGCGACAAGACATTCCAGACTACACTCAAAGTCAATGGTGAGCTGTGCACTGGACTGTTAGACACAGGTGCAACTCGGACGATCCTCACTGATGATGTGATCAAGCCCACGCGCAAGAGTGACCGCTTGCTGAAAGCGTACAATGGCGGTGTCGTAGAGACTTTGGGCATGGCTGACGTCCACATTTCACATGGTGGCAAGAACGTGAAGTGCAGTTGTTTCGTGGTAGCAGCCAGTCAGCACTCCGTTCTCTTCGGACAGGATGTCATCAAGGAGCTGAACCTCCTGTCACAAGCAAACGTGGTGAACGTGTCACCCATCGAAATCTCTCTGGAAGACGGTTCAAAGCCTCTAGCCCAGCCACCACGACGCCCAGCTTTCAGTATCCGGGCTGACATCGAGACCGAGCTGAAACGGCTGACCAAGTTGGATATCATTGAACCCGTCAAGGAAGCCACGCCGTGGGTGTCACCACTTGTTCCAGTCCGCAAACCGAATGGAGCATTGCGACTATGCGTGGACTACAGAGAACTGAATAAGAGAGTTACACGTGAGCGCAACGTTCTTCCAACCGTTGACGAGATCACAGCTCAGCTTGATGGCGCAGGGGTCTTCTCAGTTCTGGATGCGGAATCTGGATTCCATCAGCTACTCTTGTCAGAAGAAGCAAGGCCTCTAACGACTTTCTCATCGCACTGTGGCCTGTTCCGTTTCAAGCGTTTACCTTTCGGTATTGCATGTGCGCCTGAGATTTTCCAGCGAGTGGTGTCCGACATTCTGGAAGGCCTGCCAGGAGTCATCGTCTACATCGACGACATCCTAGTGTTTGGCTCCAATCAAGCAGAACACGATGCACGGCTAGAAGCAGTCAAGCAGCGACTGCGAGCAGCTAACCTCCAACTCAACTGGACCAAGTGTCGACTGAACCAGGACCGTGTGAAGTATCTGGGACATTGGCTAAGTGCGACCGGCTTGTCCCCAGATGATGACAAGTTGCAAGCCATCCAGGAGCTGGCCCCTCCGAAATCTATCTCTGATGTGCGACGGTTCCTGGGGATGGCTACGTACCTTGGAAAGTTCATTCCGAACTTGGCCCAGATCACGGCTTCTCTGCGCAGGCTAGCAAAGCGTGATCCCTTCAGTGTGGATGATGAAGTCCTGCAGGCATTCACCTCAGCAAAGGCTGGTATAGCGTCAGCTTTGCAAGCGTTGGCATTCTTTCAACCAGCATTGGACGTCCCTACTGCTATCAGCTGTGATGCATCGCCAGACGGTTTGGGAGCAGTCCTGTGGCAGAAGAATACCAGTGGCTGTTGGGTACCAGTGACATGTGCCAGTCGCTCTCTATCAGATGTTGAGTCACGCTATTCTCAGCTGGAACGAGAGATGCTGGGAGTGGTATTCGGCCTGACTCGCTTTCGGCAGTATGTACTAGGCCGAGAAGTGCAAGTGTTTACGGATCACAAGCCGCTTATTTCTATCGTCCAGAAGCCGTTCGACGAAGTGCCACCGAGGCTTCAGAGATGGCTGGTCGCATTGATGCCCTATCGCTACAGCTTGGTGTTCGTCCCTGGCCAGCAGATGGTTTGTGCTGACACCCTCTCTCGAGCTCCTCTACCTGATCGCACAGCTTCACCTGCAGAGGCACGTTCAATGGCGGAATTCGTTAGTCTCATTCTCGAGGCTTGTCCGGTTCGTTCCAAGGATATTCGCCAGGCCACGGACTCTGATCCGACACTGAGCAGCGTCCGACAAAGAGTGGGCACATCAGTTTGGTCAGGGTGCATCCAAACGGAAGAGCCTTACTTCCTGCTACGCCATCAGCTGACAGTCATTGAAGGGATTGTCATGCTAGACAATCGCTACGTCATTCCAGAAGAGCTCCGCCCAGCGGTGCTGCGACTAGCACATGAAGGTCATCCAGGCATCGATGCATTCCGGGATACCCTTCGCGAACGGGTTTGGTGGCCAGGTCTCATGAAGGATGCCAATCTGTTTGCAGAGAAATGCTCTGAATGCTGGCGTAAACGCTCCAATCCAGCGCAACAGCTCCTCCCTACAGAGATAGAAGGTGTCTGGCAGAAACTGGCCATTGACCTTGTTACCATTGAGGGAGCCACGTTCCTGTCTGCTATTGATTATGGTTCCCGCTGGCCAGAGCTTCTACCACTGTCCAATACTACGACAACGGGTGTGATCGACAAGCTGATGGAGTTGTTCGCACGGTTTGGTCTGCCTTCAACACTCGTCTCGGATTGGGGCCCACAGTTTGCATCCACTGAGATGTCCAAGTTTCTCGCTCAGTTGGGTGTTGAGCATTGCAAGTCTAGCCCCCGGTATGCCCGCTCTAACGGTATGGTGGAGCGACTACATCGTCTGGTGAAAGAACGAGTTGCCAGCCTGAGACCTCATCTACCGCTACACCGCCGCATCACTCAAGTCTTGTTCGACATTCGCAATTCGCGGCACCGGATGCTAGGTACATCGCCGAGCGAAGCGTTGTTCAGCAGAGTCATTCGGACACGGGTTCCAGCATCCATCACCCCACAGATCGTCAACCCATCTGAGCAGATCAAGGCGAAAGCAGCAATGGTTGAAGGTCATGACTCGCGCCGAGGTGTCCGCAAGTTACCCCATTTGCCATCAGGTACGCGGGTAGTGCTCCATGATGGGTACAGCGACCCTCGAAAAGAATGGAAGGTAGTAGAGCAGTATGGTCGTCAGGTTGGGGTCACTGATGGGTCACGCATACTGCTCCGGAACCGTCAGCATGTTACCGAGTTTGTAGCACCAGCAGCAGCAGCAGCGGAGAAAGCACCCATGAGTGAACCTCTGGCACAGTCAGAGAGGGAGCATGTGCCAGAGCCAGTGTGTGCTCCAGCACTGCCAGTGTCCGACCCAACAAGCCTTCCGTCAGAGAGCAGCGCAACATCCAGGCCCGAAGCTCCGGTAACTGCGCTCACATTGCCGTTGTCTCGTGCAGCTTCACCGGAGACGACAGCATCACCTGCAACACCGGCCTGTATGTCACTGTCACCGCCAACATCTCGTCCAAGTGTATTCCGCGAGGGCGTACAGACCAGAGCTGGCCGTCAGATCAAGCTTACAGAGAAAGCACGTGAAGCTGACATCTGAGTCGTCGAGTCATGCATTACCAAATGAGTGGCTTCAATCGCAGATTGGCGTTGTTTAGAATCTTCTAACTACCTTGTGAATATTTAGATTTTTCTTTATTTTTTCCCCTTATTGGTCGAGTTTGCATTGTAACTCAAACTCATGGTGTTTTTGCCTCAAGTTTTGAGTCAGATTATTTCTAATAGTTGCAACACTTCCCGTCTCTCTTTTACTCCAACACATGTACGTACATTCCTCTGCAAGCTGCAGGATACGGATGCACGTGTTTTTGTTTTGTTTTTGTTTTCCTTTTTTCTCTTTAAATAGCAATGAAAAATATCAATTGTGCACTCATAATCATGTATAAACAATTAAAATGAAACAATTCCAGAACGTTTTCGTGTGACCATCATCAGTGGAACATCGTCACATAGTAAGAATCACTAAAACAACCAGTTATATAGCTAGAGTAACATGAAAAGAAGCGTGAGAATGCAGCACAGCTAGCGGTTATGCATAACGCGTGTAGTGTGAACCTTTGCAGTGTATCTGAGAATGGTAGCAGTAGATGAATGTGGCAGCTGTGAGTGCGTGTGAACAAAAACTGGTGAGTGCGTATTATTTAAAAAAGTGTGAGTGCTACAACATTTTCTTTTTGCTTGCATAGAACAGGGTCACGTGTGCGAATATATACAGCTTCCAACACCTGCAACTGCTTAAAGAAACGCGCGCGACAAATAACACTAAACCAGGAATCGTCAAACAACTTACGACAATCCGGACTGGACACCAAATGCTTGTAGATGGCAGACTTGCTCTTGTCGATGTCGAACTCCTCCTCGTCCGTATCACTCTCATCCTCCACTTCCCGTTCCTGCTCACCCTTACTTTCCTCCTGACCATCCTGTTCATCCCCATCATCATCCTCCATCTCCATCTCCTCATGCCATCGCTTCTTTCTCCTTGACGTGTTCACTGCTGCGCCCGTACTTTCACCTGCCACTACTGGTTCCGCCTTCTCCATTTTTCTCAGTCGTGTCTCCGCTAGTCTCTGGCTTCTCCTCAGATTCGTTTTTCCTCCATTTTCATTTCGTTCTCCTGGTGATCTTTCCGTTACCGCCATCGGGTTTGTTAATGAACGGTCGTCCGGTGGTCTCCCATGCCGTGTTGTTGTCGTCAAGAGTGACACCAGATTCGTGTGTTGCGCTACTGTTGAGTCCGGTGTTGTATCCGTTTCTGGTTGTGTTGTAATACTGACAGGCGTAGTAGTAGGCAACGGGTGTTTTCTCGGCCTCCCACGCTTTGGCCTGCCTGCCCTGGCCGCTTTTGACAACAAGGACAATGGGACGTGTTGTTTGATACGTTCGGACAAGTGTTGAAGCGTCCTGCCAACATACCGACTACCGCACTGTCGGCATTCAAAATGATAAATGAGGTGACTCAAATGATGGGTCGGCAGGACGTCCTTCAACACCGTGAACGAACGTATCGTGGTGAAGACAGTTACTACATTCACTGCATAGTACGTCTTCTGGACAATAGACTTGACAATACGACTGACCTTTGTCGACTCCGCGCCTTTCCAAGGCAGGCACAGGAAGACACGACAAGGAGCCGGGCCGATTGTCAGTTCCTTACGGGGCGCATTGTTCGTGAGTAGTTTCGCTAATAGTGATCCTGGATATCCGTTCTTAAGAAAGACAGAGCGAAGGAAATCAAGTTCTGCTTGCAGTTTACTCTCGGAGCAAATGCGTCTTGCCCTGTCAGCTAAGTTTCGGACTAGATTGGTCTTGTATTGCGAAGAGCAATATGAATCGTACATAATATACTGACCAGTGAATGTAGGCTTACGATACACCGATGTCACACCACCCTCACATGTCTTTTCCACGAGTACATCTAAAAACGACAATTTGTTGCAATCCTCGTGTTCACATGTGAAGCGTAATGCAGGGTGGACATCATTCAACTCATCTAGAAAGGCTTCACTGTCACGTCTTGTTTCGAAATAGGTAAATGAGTCGTCCACAAATCGAACGTACAACTGAGGCCACTTTATTTTGTCCATTCTCGATTCGCAATATCCAACGAAGACATTTGCCAGTACCGGGCCCAACGGAGACCCCATCGCCACACCGTCTGTCTGCTTATACATAACATCACCAAACGAGAACTCTACGCCACTCGTCACCATCAGCATCAAACGTCGAAATGCTGTCTCCGGTAACCATGGAAGATCAATGTCATCATCATTGTGGTATAGTCTTCGCGCGCAGATATCTATTGTCTCGTCTAGTGGTACGTTTGTAAACAAGCTTACAACATCGAAAGAGCACATATGGGCAGTAGGCGGAATAGGGTTGTCACGAAGGATTTCAACGAATTCAAACGTGTCCTTAACGTTGTGTTTACAATAATGCTCTAATACCGGTTGTATCATGCCGCAGAGCCACTTGGATATAGCGTATTGGGGCGATCCTATCATGGAGAGTATTGGTCTAAGCGGGCAGGATGGTTTATGTATCTTGGGGAGGCCGTACATGCGCGGACGAACCGAACCGATAGGCTTGATTCGGAAAAACTCGGATTCTGTTATGTCTTTTGCTGCTCGGAGTTTCTTCAGATAGGTTACTATTTCCTTCTCCCGGGCCAATGTTTTATCATGTGTTGAAACCGGACCGAGTTCCACAAATTTACACCCGTCGTCCAGTATGGTAGCCATTTTTGTATTATACTCCATTCGCGTTAAGATAACTGTTGCCCGACCTTTGTCTGGCCGAGTGATGATGATATCATTGTTCTTTTTCAGCTCTGAACGAGCTTTCATGTGTTCGCGGGATAGTGAAAATGTTCTCCGTTCAGCGGGTTTGTCAGCGTGTTCCTCGGCTGTAGCACGCAATGTGGCCGTACACACCATTTTCTTTGATTCCGATACCGGTGCAAAACCACTCAATTTCCGATAGAATAATTCAAAATCACATAGTACTCGCTCTTTCATGTTTGATGTTGGTGGTATGCCGAAATCTACGCCTCTAGATAGTAGCTCCTTTTGAACAGTCGTAAGTGGAATGTTCGCCATGTTAATTATTGTGCTGGTATCAATTGTGATGGAGCCAAAGCGCTTCTTCCGAAGCCACTTGATGTTCTGATCGTATTTGGTGACTAATCGAGTATGTAGCCTATCATCATTCTCCGAGATAAGCATGGAAAAACGAAGAAAGTCATGCTGTGACAGGAAGTCCCGCGCCTGGCGGTAGAGGTGTTTAAACGCAGATCGTGTTTTGTCAATTGTATCCATGGATCTCGCAATGTCATCCTTGATGAAAGTTCTTTCAATTGAAAGGGACTGGTACGCTTTAGCCCGCTGTACCCTGTTCTGGATTGCGCCAGGACAGACGCCGAATTCCAAGCATTGTTTGAGAAAAGCAACATTAAACGCAATGCACCTACAAACATAACGCTTGCGAAGCACATTATTCAGACATTCAGTCTGATCGCGAGTGTATCTCCGTTTAAAGTATTTAAATAACCGACGAGGAGACAACAGTCGTAAAATAGCAAGCCACATTCATCTACTGCTACCATTCTCAGATACACTGCAAAGGTTCACACTACACGCGTTATGCATAACCGCTAGCTGTGCTGCATTCTCACGCTTCTTTTCATGTTACTCTAGCTATATAACTGGTTGTTTTAGTGATTCTTACTATGTGACGATGTTCCACTGATGATGGTCACACGAAAACGTTCTGGAATTGTTTCATTTTAATTGTTTATACATGATTATGAGTGCACAATTGATATTTTTCATTGCTATTTTACGACTGTTGTCTCCTTGTCGGTTATTTTTTCTCTTTCTTCTTTTTTTTTTTCTTTTTGAGGGAAGGGGGGTAATGTAGATATCGTACATGCAGTTGTATGTAGTACTATGTACGCACGTGCAGGCATGCACGTGCTTGTACCGCTTTATGTATAGCACGAGAGAGATGACATGGCGCACTTCTGATAGAGAACTAAAGAAGATCTGTTTAGCACAATGGCTGTCTTGTGAGTGACTGAATAGATGTCTACAGCGGCTACACATACACATATGCAAGTGCAGTGATGTGAACGGAACAGGTCCATTGTGCCAGTTTTGTGCTTTAGGTCGCATTTCAGAGAAGAGAATTGTATGTCGCTGCCTTAATCTGATCCCTCCCGGGTGATCCAGCGACAATTTTGGAGTTTGTGCTTTTAACACTTTCAAAATGGATTTTTTTGCCTTTATCCTCCATGTATAATTTGATATCGTACTCCTAATGCAGGTTCAGTGAAACCCAGCCTATTCACGCGGCTGCATATTCGTAGTACATACCTCATACAGTGTTACTGTCTTATGATCTGGAGAAAAGTTGCCGTCCACTGAATCCGCCCAGGGCCAAACCAAGAGGAGTTTCCCATGCACTCTGCAAACTGAATGGCACTCACGTCGTCTCCGACATGTTGATGTAGAGTGACGCAATGAGGAGGAAGGCATGCAGAAGACTTAGTTTCCGTGCTTCTGTTCTTTGCTCACGAAACCAGTTTGTGCAGCTAGTGCACCTACACCCTACGCGAGTTTTCATGTATGGAAATCCTGTATTCACATCTGGAATGCTCAAAGTCCTGTATGCACAGCCTACTATCCACGAGGATGGAACCTGCGCTGCATTACCCCGTAGCAATGTAAGTTACAATATGCATGTAGCTTGGAACACTTTTCTGTTTCCAGCTCATGCTCCTGAGGTCCACCTGTATACACCTGAAGTCGTTCCGAGTTTGTCTACTTCGACATACTACCCCTTCATACGTGTAATGGATGGAACATAGTAATCATTGTTCCGTCTGGACCCGCTCAGGTGAAAGATTCTGGTATGATGGCGTTTCTCAAAAATATACCAAGCAATGGGAGCGTGACCGATTTTGAGAACAATAGACCCAACACCCTGGGGCAAAGACCTGCACACATTGATGGGGTGAGGAGGCAGTAGATGATAATTTTCCGGTTACGACAGGATTCCACTCAGGTAACGGTCAGGGAACACATGATTGTTTGTTACTTGAATTGTACAGTGCAAACACAGAACATGATCATCCTGGTTCATGACACTCGATGTCACTGTGCTATACCTCATTCTTCATTTTACAGTCGGCCCCTGCAGCGAGCAGCGCTTTACACATCTCGATTCTACCCATCCTGGCGACATCGTGCAACGGAGTGTTGCCACCCTGCATGCACACGCAAGAAACAAGAGTACAGGAAAAAGTTCTCAATGAGTTTGATTGTAGATCACAATCACAATTGTCGATCAAAGCAAAACAATTCAGAGTGGAATTCAACAGTTGGTGGATATGGTACTACTTGTCTGGTATTTACATTGCATGATTGCCATTAGTGTACAGACATACATGTACACTTATACCTCGGTTATCCAGACCCCAAAGTTACGGGCATTTCAGGCTACCAGACAAACTTTGGTTGAGTTTCAGTGTAAATGTTACTACTCATCCGTGCTTTTATAAGAACGAAACGGCGCTTTTAGTGGCATTTTGCATACAAATCTCCATCTAGTAGGGCGCAGTCACCCAGTTTCGGTGGAAGTGCGCGAGTTCGATTGGGATTCAAGTAGGAAGGGAGCGTCTCAGCTTTCTCGGACCAAGACCATTCGACTCAGCACCCCGAAGACTACAACTGGTGAAATTTTAATTTTTGCCTTAACTTCCCCTTTAACTTCCCTGCTTTTGTGCTTTGCTCTCGAAACAAGTTTGTGCAACTTTTTGCTTTTTGGTTTCCGGATCATGCACACGAAGTTCTCCTTTCTACTCTTCCCGAAGTCATTCCAAGTTCTGTACAGGTAGACTCCCTCTAATTCGAATACGGAATAATTCGAACATTCCATGTAATTTGAACTTTTTCGTCGTACCGATCTTCTGCAAGTCACTTCAAGTAAATTCGAATGCATAATTCGAAGTACGAAAAGTGCACCCGCTGCATAATTCGAACTCTGTCTTCGTACAGAAGAACAGTTTACAGTACAGTGACTATGTCCTTCGAGCACTTATTTCGAAGTGAGATGGAGTTGCTCTACTCGTAATTCGAAGTTCATTTTTTCTACTTCTCTAGCCAAGAGAAACTCAGAAATTGATCCCTGGTCCGCTCCAGGATCGACAATAGCGTTGAAGAAACCGACCTTCTCTCGAAATTTGATCCAAGCCTGTGCGAGGCAAAGTGCAAAGATTTGATTGAAGACAACTTCTTCCAGGTGGTTGGCTCTCTTCGCGGATCTCAATGGCTTGTCATGCCGCGCCAGCTCATGCGCAAAGAAGTTTAGGACTGAACAACAACTGGAAGTCGTAAACATTGTCTATGCCTAAGCTCCACTTCTGTTCGTCAGAACGACGTGCTGCTCTCCGACGGGCTTTCATGACGCAGAGAAGGCAGCGCTCTTCTCTTGCGTTGAAATTGTTTCAGGACAACGGCAGCGATTGAAAACTGCTTCACTAGAACTTCGTAGAAGATGAAAATAATGTCCAATGACTTCATGTCGATCCAGTGTTTTGGTGAAATGACCTGATTTCGTTGTTCATGACCACCTATGTTTCATTGGTGCAAAAAAAAGTGCAAAAATAATCAGCACGCAATTTCGAGCATTTTGACATACATATCAGTACATGGGACTGCATTTTGGATAATTAGAAATTCCGGATAATTCGAATTTAGTGCCTGGCAATTTGAGGTTCGAATTTGAGGGGGTCTACCTGTACTTCGCCATAATAGCAGCTAATACGTGTAATGGATGGAACATAATATTGTACCGCCTGCACCTGCTCTGGTGAAAGATTCTGGCGTGATGGCGTCTCTCAAGAATATGCTGATCTTGCACATATTGTACGCAACGGGAGTGAGGCCAATTAAAAAAATAGACACAACACCCAGGGGCAAAGATCTGCCCACATTGCAGTGTTGAGGAGGCAGTAGATTGAAAATTGCTCCTTCATGCAAGGATTCCAATTTGGTGAGGGTCTATGGAACACATGAGTTGTTTTTTCTCGATAGTACAATGTTAGCACAGACCATAATCATCATGGTTCATGACATCCTATTATACTGTCCTTGACCGCATTCTTGATGTCACAGTCTGCCCCTGCAGCGAGCAGCGCTGGCACACATCGATTTTTTCTGCCCAGGCAGCATGGTGCAACGGAGTGTTGCCATGCTGGAAGCAGTTAATTTTACAGAGTAAAGCAGAACAGGATAAGCATGGTTCATGGCACTCTAAATCCGGTTCTTTACCGCATCCTTGATGTTGCAGTCCACCCCTGCAGCGAGCAAAGCTTGACACACCTCGGTTCTACCCCAATTGGCGGCATGGTGCAACGGAGTGTCGCCATCCTGGAAGCACATGCAAGAAACAACAGTACAGGAAAAAAGTTCTGGGGAAGTCTGAGTGTAGATCACAAACACAATTGTAAATCAAAGCAAAATAATGCAGAGTGGAATTGAACAATTGGTTGATATGGTACTACTTGTCTGGTACTGCCGTGGACATGGAAACCCGGTGGCACGTCTAGCGGTCCCTGGCCGCTGTCCATGCAGGCTTGATTCGGTACGCGTAGTCTACGGTACACATATGCAGTGCGCTGGTCATATCGGATAAACATGTGCACTGCATGCAACGTTCTGTACGCACTGAGAGCGCCGGTCCTGGTCATTCGACTGGATTTCCATGTCCTAGACAAGACAGTATTTTCATTGCATGATTGCCATTACAGTAAGATCGGGCGCCGAAGAACACCTCGCCGAAGAACACCCAGGCTGGAAAACCGGCAAAATTTAAGAACAGTCCAGGCTAGAATTATCAGATTTAAGAACACTTTTAAAATGATCTACATTGTACATGTGTGGGAGGTGAGTACATGTCATGTACACGTGTAACTACTAAACAGTAACTGCACTGCTACATGTACAGTCATTCCCATTTACGACACCCACTAGTTTAGAAGTACTACATTGCACTACATGTACATGTACATGTACATGTACATGACAAACGTCATGACGTCACTCGACTCGCCGCGCGCATGTGAATAAGAACGGTCTGGCAAGAATCAAAAATTTAAGAACTTTCCTAGGCTGCGCTCGAGCCCCTGCGTTCTTCGGCGCCCGATCTTACTGTATTGTACAAGCATACATGTATGTCATATTTTCTTATCAGTGTGGTGTTATACAAATTGGATCAACGCCCAGGATGTGGTAGGAATGTGGCTAGACATGCACATAATAAAGTGCTGTGATGTAATCTGAACTGGTCCAGGGTGACAGCTTTGCACTTTATTAGTTCGGATTTCAACACTCACAACCGTACTTGCTCACTGTTTGGGTTTGATGCATACTTTTAGAGCGTGGTGAAGGTAAGTTACGTAATAAAGGCAGAGAGCCGCGCACTGACCCATAACCACAGTTGCATACTCTTGTTTATGCACTCTTGCTACTATCCACGAGGATGGAGTCTGTGCTGCACTAGCCTGTGGCAATGTAAGATACAATATACATGTAGCTCGGAATACTTTTCTGTTTTCAGCTCATGTGCCTGAACTTCACCTGTATACTCCTCCCGAAGTCGTTCCGAGTTTTTGTACTTCGACATACTAGCCCCTAATACGTGTAATGGATGGAACATTATTGTTCTGTCGGGACCTGCTGAGGTGAAAGATTCTGGCATGATGGCGTTTCTCTACACTATACCAAGCAATGGGAGCGTGACCGATTTTGAGAACAATAGACACAACAAACTGGGGCAAAGACTTGCACACATTGATGGGGTGAGGAGGCAGTAGATGAGAATTTTCGGGTTAGGACAGGATTCCACTCGGATAAAGGTCAAGGAACAGATGATTGTTTGCATGTTAATTGTACAGTGCAAACACAGAACGTGATCATCTTGGTTCACGACACTCAATGTCACTGTGCGTTACCTCATTCTTGATGTTGCAGTCCGCCCCTCCAGCGAGCAGCGCTTGACACACAACAAGTTTACCACTATTGGCGGCATCGTGCAACGGAGTGTCGCCACGCTGGATGCACACGCAAGAAACAACAGTACAGGAAAAAGTTCTCAATGAGTTAGATTGTGGATCACAGTCACAGTTGTAGATCAAAGCAAAACAATTCAGAGTGGAATTCAACAGTTGGTGGATATGGTACTACTTGTCTGGTATTTACATTGCATGATTGCCATTAGTGTACAGACATACATGTACACTTATACCTCGGTTATCCAGACCCCAAAGTTACGGGCATTTCAGGCTACCGGACACACTTTGGGTGAGTCTCAGTGGAAATGTTACTACTCTTTAGGCAATTTTTGTGGAAATAGTGACGACATATGCCATATTTATGGCCATTCCCCATCCAAATGTACCGATTTTGAGAACGATAGACACAACAAACTGGGGCAAAGACTTGCACACATTGATGGGGTGAGGAGGCAGTAGATGAGAATTTTCGGGTTAGGACAGGATTCCACTCGGATAAAGGTCAAGGAACAGATGATTGTTTGCACGTTAATTGTACAGTGTAAACACAGAACAGGATTATCCTGGTTCATAACACTCAATGTTACTGTGCTTTACCTTATTCTTGATTTTACAGTCGGCCCCTCCAGCGATCAGCGCTTGACACACCTCGAGGGCACCTCTCCTGACGGCATCGTGCAACGGAGTGTCACCACGCTGGATGCGCACGCAAGAAACAACAGTAGAGGAAAAAGTTCTCAATGGGTTTGATTGTAGAACACAGTCACAACTGTAGATCAAAGCAAAACAATTCAGAGTGGAATTCAACAGTTGGTGGATATGGTACTACTTGTCTGGTATTTACATTGCATGATTGCCATTAGTGTACAGACATACATGTACACTTATACCTCGGTTATCCAGACCCCAAAGTTACGAGCATTTCAGGCTACCTGGAAAACTTTGGCCGAGGTTTAGGGAAATGATAGTACTCTTTTGGCGATTTTTGTGGAAATAGTGGCGACATACGCCATATTTATGGCCATTCCCCGTCAAAATGTATGTCATTCGGGGTAACGGACATTTCGAAGTTACGGGTAGTGCCCGGATAAACAAGTTATGAGTGTATTTCATATTGTCGGATCATTGTGTCGCTGTACAAATTGGATCAACGCCCAGGATGTGGTATGAATGCGGCTAGACGTACACATAATATGAAAGTGCAGTGATGTGATCGGAACTGGTTCATGGTACCAGTTTTGTGCTTTAGGTCACATTTCAGTGAAGAGAATTGTACGTCGCTGCCTTCATCTGATGCCTTCCGGGTGATTCAGTGGCAATTTTGGAGTTTTTCCTATTGCCACTTTCAAAATGGATGTATTTGCCTTTTATTCTGCATGTGTAATTTAATATCGTACTCGTAATGCAGGTTCAGTGAAGCCCAGCCTATTCACGCGGCTGCAGATTCGTAGTGCATACTGTAGAACAGGTAATTTAGCGGCTAGTTGTATTTTAGCGTTTTTATTATTATTATTTCACCGTCCAATGGCAGAAGCCAATGCAAAGGAGGGGGCGTTAGCCAGCCATGGCAAGAGAAGAAAAAAAAGAAGAAAGAATGAAGGAAAGAAGATGATAATCGGAAGAAAATAATGCATCAGCGGGGTGAAATGTATCGCTATGTTGACCATGGTGGAGAGCGGCGAGATAAGCTAGCAAAAGAGGCGAGCGAGCCTACAACGTGGCATGACATTTAACATGGTCTATGAACTGTCTAATATTGGATATTGTCTTCATTTCCATGGGCAGCTTGAGCCAATACGAGTATGCAGAGAAGATAGGAGATTTGGTAAACATAGTTGACAAAGCTCTGGGAAGTACTATGCCATTGGGAGTGTCCCGTGCGAAAGTAAACCAATTATACTTGGTGAGATGTTCAGGGACAATGTTGAGTTTAATACGATGGACCAGAACGCATGACTGTCTCTGCGACAGGATAGAGATGGGGCTGGTGGAGGCCAAACTATATAGATCAGTAGAGGGGAAAAGAGTGGGTTTACGAAAAATAATTTTCAACACACGTTTATGATGTATTTCTAGTGTCTGTACAGCAGATTTACTAAGCAGGGAATGCCAAGCAGTGGCGCCGTACAGAAAGATAGGAAGGAGGTAGCATTTATAAAAGAGACGAATACATTCGGGAGACAAGTGGGAGCAGTGAGACATCAGGCAACCTACAGATTTGCTAACTTTGTTGCATACAAAATCTACGTGAGAATTCCAGGACAATTGCGAGTCAAATACAACACCCAAATGCCTTACCATTGTCAACGTTAATTGTACCGGTTAGCGACGTTTTAGTTTCGCGATATGCAGCGATTTTACTCACGGATCACCGGTGCACTACTTGTCTTAACTGATTAAGGACTTGAAACTTTAGCGAAAATGAGTCGATCGCTATATTCGCTAGGGTTTTTACGTCGCTAAAATTACCCGTTCTACAGTACCTACGCCACTTCAGCAGCCGAGTTGGAGAGACACTTATGCGAAGCTAGCCCGCCAGCACTCAAGAACCATCTCCCGCACGCATTACATAGTCGGCTGCCGGACTGCTCAGATATGGGCTTCCTCCTCTCGGCCAGGCACTTGTGGCGATTCTTGTATTTCACACACACACACACACCTGCACCTGCACACACACACACACACACACACACACACATGAGCACACTTACACACACACACACACACACACTCACACACACACAAGCACTTCAAAAACTGCAGCAGTTACACTGATGGCAATGCAGGCTCTGCAGCAAGCTCCTCTGCGGATGCCTCAATCAGGTCAGCAGCGACTTCCTCAGCTGCCGACAGCAAACGTGTGGAGCGGTGCAAGCTGGGGAGAATCACGTTCTTCCTCAGAAAGATCAAGGCGTCAACATTGGAAGGGTGGAGGGAGCTGCGGGTTTTCGTAACGATGGCACCCGCAGCAGAGAAAACGGATTCGGATGGCACAGACGAGCCAGGAATGGCCAAGAATTTCCTGGCCACGGGTGCCAACAGCGGAAAGCGGTCGCTGTGCACTTTCCACCAGGCAAGTACATCAGTCTCCATGCCTGTTAGCTCCTCGGTAAAGAACACAGCAAGCTGTCGCTCAGCCTTTTCCAGGTTATCAACTGGCTCGTCATGCCCATCGTCGAAGTTCGCTGTGGTGCTCATCAGTTGAGCAAGGCTGCTCAAACAGGGCTTCTTCGCAGCTGGCTCAGTAACGCTAGAAGCCGGACATGTGGGCAGCTTCTCGCTGGCCAGTTCAGCAAGATCTTTCTGCACTTGGATGCGCTGTTCAACCTCCAAGAAGTTCAGGTTCCGGAACCGAGGATCCAAGGCGCTAGCCAGGACCCCGGACTCCGGACATCCAAATTGTCGTGGCGGAACTTCACCTTCAGCCGTGAAAGTAGATTCGTCGCGAACGACCGTGCCATGGTGGAGTGTGTTTCGCCAACCAAAATTTGAAGCCGTGTTGCCAGCTTTGTGGTGATGGGGAGCATTATTGAGAGCGTGACGTACGATTACCCGCTGGCAATCTTGGTGGCAAGCTCAAACGGCTTCAGAATTGTGACCAGGTGTTCGGCTGCGGCCCATTGCTGGTCCTTCAGCTGAAGGTCACAGTGTTCCTTCTTTGGAGTGCAGCTGCTGTTCGACAGCACAACCGTCAATGCTGTCCTTAGCTGTAGGGGGCGGCTCAACATGAAGAAGGTGGAATTCCACCTTGTAGGCACGTCCTGGACTATGGTTAGTGGCTGCTTGGCGCTGTCAAGCTGCAACTGCTTGAGCCTGAGGTGCTCAGCCGCCACAGAAGAATGTTTAAAGTGCCCTACCAGTTTGCGACTGCAAGCCAACAACTTGTCCAGGCCCTTCGTTTTGTCGATGGCGTTCCTGATGACGGTCTGCAGCATGTGGGCCATGCAGACCTGGTTGTCGATATCGTCATCACGCAAAATAGCTGCAGTGGCAACCATGTTTCGGGCCTCATCGTGAGTCACACAGCTCACTTGTTGGCGTGGAATGCCGAAAGCATCCACAACGGGTAGCAGATGTGCAGCCAGCTGTACACTGGTATGGCTGCCGTGGAATTGGTTAGTCTGCAGGAAACAGCTCACCAGAGACCAATCTCTGTCAACGAGAGAGCTTGGAAGCTCAGGGCCCTAAGCTATGCTTTTTTGCCTTGATGACCTAGACAAAAAAAAAGCATAGGGATGTTATAAATTCTTTAAAAAAATCCTTTTTTTAAGACATAACCTGGGATTCGAACCCGCACTATCGCGCGCCCTGCATGCATCCCCCGATACGCTTCGCATACATACAAATTCTTCCAAGTTGTTTCACATTGTGATCTTGCATTTGAAAGCCGTATTTGAATATGCATTGTGGCCAGCCGTCTTTGATGGCACGGTACGGTAGGGGATAGGTAGGGGACAGGTACGATCGAGGGTAATACGACACCGTCTGCCGTACCGTACCGTACCATCAAACACAGCTGGCCACATACAGCTGCCCGCAATATTCAAATAGGGCTTTCAAACGCAAGATAATAACGTAAAGCAACTTGGAAGAATGGGTATGAATGCGAAGTGTATGGGGAATGTATGTAGGGCGATAGAGCGGGTTCGAATCCCAGGATATGCCTGAGAAAAAAGGAGAATTAAAAAATTTATAACATTCTATGCTTTTTTGCCGTCAGATACGGATAGCGCCAGGCGTGACACAAACAAACAAACACACAAACACACAAATACCAAATTAAAGCTGCGTGGACCCTGGCTAGCGCCAGACGTTACTGAAGTAACGTCTTCTGCATAGCTACGGGAATAAAATGTGCAGTGTATGTGACATAGCTCTGCGTCGCCATAGAAGTCCATCCATCGGTGGTGAGGGCTATGCCACACACTCCCTCATTCTCCAACAGCTTTTTCAGGTCAGCGATCCCTATTTCATGGCGCTTGCGCAGCAGCGAACTGAAATGAGTTCGCGACGGGAATGGGAAGGCAGGCTCCACAAAC